GTAACTCTTATTTACCTTATGTGACCCCATTACAACGTTTGAACATGGCGCATAAAATTCATGATTCACTTCCGAATCTAAGCATTGCTTTGAGAATTTTGCTGTGTCTCAGAAGAGCAAAGTGTCTGCAAATCAAAGCTGAGTTGCAGTGGCTCCAGAAACGTTCTGTGCTGCTGAAAATAGAAGACAAAATATGCAAAAGTGCTGTTTATAACAAGATAGTGATTTCTCTGAAATAATCAGAAAATAAAAGTATGGAATATAAATGTGTAACAATTCTGTAAAGCCTGTTAGGCCTCCCCGCCCACCCCAAACTCAACAGGATGCAGGCACGCGTGGGAGATGCTGCGGGTCCCCCTCCAGACACCGCAGCACAATGAGTCTCACCGTAAACTAAATGCAGCTGCTGACTGAGCTGGGTGGTAGCTGCTGAAGGTGGGGGTTGGGGCAAGTTCTTTTTAAAGATTTTATTTATTTGAGGGGGGAGGGGCAGAGGGAGAGGGAGAGAATCTCAAGCCGACTCCCCACTGATTGCAGAGCCGGACTTGGGGCTCGATCTCACGACCCTGAGCTGAAACCCAGAGTCAGATGCTTAACTGACTGCACCACCCAGGGGACCCCTGGCAGCTTCTTAAAGTAAGACGACGATGAAGTCTGATGCATGGATTGACTCTTCCTTTCGTGAAGGATTTCTCTGTAGCGGGTGATGCTGTCTGAACTTCTCTCAAAATGAGTCAGGCCTCTGAAATCCTGCTGCTTTCTCAGCTCAGTTCATGGAATATTCTAAATCCTTCATGCCCTCCCAACAGTCTTCACAGCGTCTCCACCAGGAGTAATTCCACTTTCTCTGCTCGTCCAGAAGCAGCAACTTGCCCATTCAAGTTTCATCATGAGATTTCGGCAGTTTGGTCCCATCTTCTGATTCTGGTCGTCTTGCTTTCCCGCCATGTCTGTGGTGACTCCCCCCCCCCCGCCCCAACTCCGGAAGCCCTCGCAGTCATCCACGAGGGCTGGAACCCACCTCTTCCAAACTGCTGTTTGTCATTTTGTCCTCTTCCCGTGGGTCATGAATGTTCTTAATGGCGTCTAGGATGCGAACCCCTTGCAGAAGGCTTTCCACTTCCTGTGCCCAGATCCTCCGCGAATCACTATCTAGTGCAGCCATAGCCTCGCAAAGTGTATTTCTTAAAGAACAAGACTCGAAAGTCGAGAGGACTGGGCGGCTGGTGGTTGAACGGAACACACCCAACTTTATCAGTAAGCCCCTATCTCTCACAGGCACTGTTCACGGTGCCCCTAGACAGTGACAGTAGTAACATCAAAGGTCAGTCCCCACCACAACAAATACAAGGAAAACGTGTGAAATATTGGGGGGTTATCAAACTGTGCCACAGAGACCCAGAGTGGGAAGAGCTGTTGGAACAGCGGAGCCAGGAGATGGACGTGCTGGGCCCAGGGTGGCCGCGGACCTTCCCTTTGTGAGAAAGGCAGTGGGACGAGCATGGGGTCTGCCTCTCCTTTGCCTTCGTGGCTCTTTCCACATTGCGTGGTTACAGGTTTATTTCCCTGCGGGTCCATGGGAGCTCCATGCAGGCAAGAGTCCACGCACGCATGGTCCGTTCCCGTGAGCCCAAAGCCTTCCTGATGGGAAGACCTCAGAGCGCCGTGTGTGAAGTCCAAGCATGCGCCAGGAAGGCCACTCCCTCCCTTTCTGAGTTCTTTCTCCTGAAACAGACACCTGCCTTTCCGGTGGCTACAGCTGTGGGGGAGGCTCGTGTCCCAGGACGAAGTGGGCTCTTGGAGACAGTAACCCACCCAAGTATCGTCAGTAGCTTGGGGTTTGGACACCTGGGCGGCTCAGGCGGTGAAGCGTCTGCCTTCGGCTTGGGTCACGATCTCAGGGTCCTGGGATCGAGCCCCGCGTCGGGCTCCCTGCTCGGCGGGAAGCCTGCTTCTCCCTCTCCCATTCCCCCTGCCTGTGTGCGTGCTCTCTCTCTCTCAAATAAATAAATAATTTTAAAAGATGGAGCTTGGGTTTTGCTGTTAAAGGTAGCGATGGTGATTTTAACATGAGTCCTTGGGGCTGGCTTGCTGGCAACACGGCCCACGCTGGGGGTTACCCAGAGTGGTTAGATCCAGGGGCTCAGCATGGCCAGTCCATGGGCTCCTCAAGGGCAGGCACTACCTTATTCCTGCTCTGTTGTTGCGAGCCAGGCTCCCAACAGGTGGGCACCCACCATCTGCTGTGATGAAATCCACAAATTCCGTCTTGTGAGCACAGCCATATTGAGCACTTTATGCACATTGTGTCCACTAATCTTTTTATAACCCCATGAGGTTGGTATTCTTGCCCCCATTGTACAGAAAGGGAAATTGAGGCTCACAGAGAGGAAATCTGCCCAACGTCGCACACACCCAGACAGAAGCAGGGAAGCAGAAGTCCCTTGGGATATTGAAGCAATGGCCTGGAGCGATAACTATTTTGGGGCCCGCCAAAGCAGCATCCTCTCCTTGGAGAACGCCTGTGCCTGCCTTTCAGAGCCCGGGCTCTGTTATCTCTGGCCGCCTGCTGCGCGGGCGCTGGCCCATCTGCCCCTGCACCACCCTGGCCTCCTCTTCTGTCCTGGCCTCTCTAACGGCTGCCCAGCCTCTAAGGCAGGGTCCCCCAGCGTCACCCTGGAGCCCTCTTCCTCCCTCTACACCCCCTCTCTGGGCCAGCCTGTCAACCCCTGGCCTCTGCAGTGTGCATGTCCTGCTCAGAGCCCTCCCGGCAGGCCTGGGCCGGCCAGCTCCTGCCGACTGCTGCTGGTTACTCCTCCCAGAATGTAGTTCCCGCTCTAAGACCTTCAGTGGCTCCCCGGGCCTGTCCGAGAAGCAAAGACTTCCCCAGTTCAGAGCCTTCCTCCACCCCGGCACTGCGCTCTCCGCCTTTATTCTGCCATCCCGTCAGCACGCCCCCCTCCCCCTCTGCCCAAGACAGAGTCACTTCTGGTGCGTGGCCGTACTTTCCTCCACAAAGTTCCTCCTGACCCCCCGCCCAGCACATTACTTAGAGGACAGGTTTAAATATGGCGATGGCGAAAGAGTCTGCTTCAATGTGTCCAGAAGTAACTCGATGCTCCAGAGAGGCTGCGGGGGCTGGGCGGGTGGGGGCTCGGGGGGCGCAGGCCCTCACAAAGGGCCAGTGTAGACGCAGTCACACCAGCTTGTCTGGGGCCGGCACTGAACTTAGAGTCCACCCTCCCACGGCCGCCGGGAGACAGAGGCCCTAGCTTCAGGTGTCGGATGGAACAAACAGTAACAAGGGTGGGCAGCCTTGAGCTCCCCACGCAGGCGCTTCCGGGGTGGGGGTGGGGCGGGGGGGAGTCATCCCAGGGGTGCGGCCTTGAGCTGTTGGAAATCACGCCAGTGTTTATTCAAGTGTTACAGGCCAAGGTCGAGGCCTAGTTGAGGGGAGGGTTCGGAAGAGCCTGGGGAGAGTTCCACGACGGAGAGCTCTTTGCCAGGTTTTTAGCTTAGACAAAAGCAGAAAGACAAACACACACGCATCAGTGTGTGGAGACGGCCAGGTGCTTCACACGGTTATGAAGTAGATACTACCGTTATCCCCATTAAAAAGTCAAGGAATTTAAGGCTCAGGAAGGCTAGTCACCTGCCCTAGGTCACACAGCCAGAAGTGACAATGCCGGGATGTGAACCCAGGTCTCCCGGTTCCTGAGTTCGTCGCCCTATTCTGTGCCTGTAGGCTCTGGCCACCCACATATGCCCGTCGGACGGCGTCACCGGTCCGGGGCACTGAGCCAGGTGGGCAGTGGCGCTGGGCAGCGGTTCTCAGCCCTGGCTGCACACGGGACTCCCCCGAGGAGCTTTACAAACACTGATGCTTGGGTTCCAGCCCAGAAGTCCTGAAGGCATTGGTCTGCAGTGCAGCCCAGACGCAGGGATCCCTATGAGCTGCCAGCAGCCTGCACCGTTATCCTCCCATCTGGCCTCGGGGGAACCGTGAGAGGCAGGCGTGTAGGTGGCAATGACCATGTCCTGCTGATGAGCGAACAAGCTCAGGCTAACACTCGGGTGGCTCCTAACACCTGGCTACGGAATCTTGCGTCTTGACCCCCAGCTCTGCGTTCTCGGCCCACAGGTGAGCAGCCTGGTGGACGGGGAAAGACAGTGCCTCCCAAACCAGGAACGAGCAGTTGAACTTTGCTTGGATGTTAAAAGTCACTTCACTCTGCCACAGAACTGGAAGAGGGCATGGAGCCTGCCTCAGCCACAGGACCCCAAACAAGACCAGGGGATCCTGCAAGAGAGCAGGGGCCTCCCCTCCCCGCCGGTGTCCAAGGGCCGGCTGGAGCTGGGAGCCTGCAGTTCACTGATAGCACTCCTTCTATGCCCCTTTCTGCCGCGGTGGGGGTTGGGGGGCCCGCAGCCCAGGCAGGTTAGAGACCCGTGACTGTAGCCTCCCAGGCAGGGACCGGGGCGCAGGGCGCAGGGCCTAGGGCCACCGAGCCCAGCTCCAGAGCCAACCCCCACCCTCAATGTGCACAATGCTGGGCCCGCCAGCGGGGTCCAGCCTTAGTGGTTCCGAAGGTTCCCCACCTGCAGGACACGAGGGGCCAGTGCCCACTCTTGGAGACCTGGACACGTGGCTAGTCACCCCTGAAGGGCGTCACTGCTTAGCCTTGGGGGACCTGAGGGGATCCCAGGCGTGCGCAGTGGGGAGGCCCGGCCGCACAGCTGGGGCGGGCAGAGCCCCACAGCACAACTCGGGAAGGGCTTAGCTCGCCCCAGCCCTGAAGATGCCCCTGGGGGCGCCAGCGAGTGCGGTCCCAGCACAGCCGCGGACCCCCGCCCACCCTAAAGCCCTCAAGGGTGCCGCCACGTGCCGCAGGCCCCCGCAGCCCCCCCGGCCGTGACCGCACAGAGCGCGGCCACACCCCCCGGGCGCGGCCCGCCGCCCAGCGCAGGACGCTGCCCGCCCACCGCACCCCTCCGGGCAGCGTGCCCGCCCACGCGACCCGTCGGGCCGGCCGGTCCTCGGGCCCGCGGACCCAGGAAGGGCAAGGCGGCGGCGCCCGGGCGGCGGGACGGTCGTCGGAGGGCGCCCCCACGCCGAGCCCCTTCCCAGCCCCCCACCATGGCCCGGGGCGGCAGTCAGAGCTGGAGCTCCGGGGAGTCGGACGGGCAGCCGGAGGAGCGGGCGGCCGGGGAGAGCGGGTGAGCCGGCGGCGTCCTGCCCGGCCCGCGTCGGGGGCGGCGGGGGGCGGCGGGGGCGGCGGGGGCGGGGACTGCGGACTAGGCGAGTCGGGGCTTGGGGTCCGGGGGCGGCCGCCGGGGGTCGGGGGTCGGGGTCGGGGTCGGCTCCCCGCCGCGCACTCGCTGCCCCGCCCGCCCCAGCGCGGGCGCCGCCGGAGCCTCCGCGAAGGTTCTGGGCCTTTGTGGCGTCACTGACTCCTCGCGGAACCTTCCGCCGGCGCCGAATAAAACCCGCGGCGGAGGAGCCGGAGGCCGAGTGCGGCGGCCCCGGGCGGCGGGCGGCGGGCGCCCCGGGCGGCGGGCGGAGCCGGAGCCGAGCCGGAGCCGGAGCGGGCGGCGGGGAGCGGGACGCGCGGGCGGGCGGCGGGTCGTCCCGGGCGCCCTGACCGGCCTCGCCCGGCCCGCCCGCCCGCAGAGGCAAGATGGTGAAGGAGACCCAGTACTATGACATCCTGGGGGTGAAGCCCAGCGCGTCCCCGGAGGAGATCAAGAAGGCCTACCGGAAGCTGGCGCTCAAGTACCACCCGGACAAGAACCCGGATGAGGGCGAGACGGTGCGGCGGGGGTCGGGGGCAGGCGGCGGGGGTTGGGCGGCGGGGGTCCGGCCGGGGTCGCGGGGCTGGGGTGGGGGCAGGCGGCGGGGGGGAGGGGAAGGGGGCTGTCGGGGGGCTGGGGTCGAGGGCCTGGGGTGGGGGCAGGCGGCGGGGGGGGAGGGGAAGGGGGCTGTCGGGGGGCTGGGGTCGAGGGCCTGGGGTGGGGGCAGGCGGCGGGGGGGGGGAAGGGGGCTGTCAGGGGCTGGGGTCGCGGGGCTGGGGTGGGGGCAGGCGGCGGGGGGGGGGAAGGGGGCTGTCAGGGGCTGGGGTCGCGGGGCTGGGGTGGGGGCAGGCGGCGGGGGGGGAGGGGAAGGGGGCTGTCAGGGGCTGGGGTCGCGGGGCTGGGGTGGGGGCAGGCGGCGGGGGGGAGGGGAAGGGGGCTGTCGGGGGGCTGGGGTCGAGGGCCTGGGGTGGGGGCAGGCGGCGGGGGGGGGGAAGGGGGCTGTCAGGGGCTGGGGTCGCGGGGCTGGGGTGGGGGCAGGCGGCGGGGGGGGGGGAAGGGGGCTGTCAGGGGCTGGGGTCGCGGGGCTGGGGTGGGGGCAGGCGGCGGGGGTCCGGCCGGGGTTGAGGGACTGGGGTGGGGGCAGGCGGCGGGGGGGGGAGGGGAAGGGGGCTGTTAGGGGCTGGGGTCGCGGGGCTGGGGTGGGGGCAGGCGGCGGGGGGGGGGGGGAAGGGGGCTGTCAGGGGCTGGGGTCGCGGGGCTGGGGTGGGGGCAGGCGGCGGGGGTCCGGCCGGGGTTGAGGGACTGGGGTGGGGGCAGGCGGCGGGGGGGGGGGGGGGGAAGGGGGCTGTCAGGGGCTGGGGTCGCGGGGCTGGGGTGGGGGCAGGCGGCGGGGGTTGGGCGGCGGGGGTCCGGCCGGGGGAGGGACTGGGGTGGGGGCAGGCGGCGGGGGGGGGGGGGGGGGGGGAGGGGAAGGGGGCTGTCAGGGGCTGGGGTCGCGGGGCTGGGGTGGGGGCAGGCGGCGGGGGTTAGGGGCCTGGGGTGGGGGGCAGATGGCTGGGTCGGGGGTTGGGGCTGCCCCCGGGCCCTGGGACCCCTGGTGACCCCTGCAGCCCGCCCACTCCTCCGTTGCCTCCGCAAGCCTGCTTGCTGCGGGGTGTCCCGCACCCCACGGGAGCCCGGTTGGCACAGCGTCGGGGGGGGGGGCAGTTCTGTAGGAGGGGCAGCCCGCAACCCGGGAAACGAAGGCGCGCGCCACCCCAAGTTGTGCGATTGCCGGAGCGACCGGCTGGGAATGTTTTGTGTTCCTTCCTTGCTGGTGCATCATCACCAGGGACAAACCCGGTGTGGGGCTTGAGAACAGGGAGGGATTTGGTCTGCGTGCCTGTCTCCTGCCTGGTCAAGGTCGTGAGACACCCAATAATCACATTTATTAAACAGGGACAGGGAGATCTCTACCCTGACACATCATTTTACAGGAATAGTCCAGGTTTTCTGTGACAAATGACCCACAGTTGATCCTAAGGACCAATAATAGGCTGAAGAACGCTCTGCATGGTGGAGAGCTGAATTAAAAATTCCTGTTCACGCAACAGAGCCGGTCTGCTCTCTGTCCCGGGAGGCTCGGTTCCCACCCGAGCAGCTGACTGGCAGGACCACCTCCTGGTTCTTGGGAAGGCTGCTTGCCCGTCCCAGTTCTCTTTCCGCTGTTCGTTGCTTCCTTATAAAACTCTGCAGTCTCCGATGGTCTGGGGGAGGTGGGCTTCAGGGGTAGGGGACAGCAGTGACACCCAGGCGGCGGGTGAAGCCGCAGATCAGGCGCCTAGTGGTTAGATGCCCGGAGGTGCCGCCCGTGTGTGTGCCCGCTCCCAGGCTGGCGCTGGCTGCCAGGAGGGCTGACTGTTGGCAGCAGTGATAGGGGATTTATATTTAGCCACATGTGCCGAGCGCGGCTGTCACAAGTTTAACATGCTTTTCTGTAAGACCGTTTGCTACTCACTTGCGTTCTCTCGTTTATATTTAGAGGGCTTACTGTAGCTTTTTGAGGGCCTGGTTTTGTCCGTGGTGTTGGTGATTCAGAGACGTGCTCGCGGGCGGGTTCACCGGAGCCTGTGCGTGAGGATCTCCTCTAAGCGGAGCGGATCCAGGCTTCTCGGCTGACGGCTCGGGAGGCTGGCGAGAGGCGGCTTGCGGGGAGGCCTGGGGCCTGGCTTCAGTCTCATCTCCGAGCGCCGTCCGGGAGCGTGTTCCAGGCTGTGTGCGTGCACTTGGAGCGAGTCTACTCCGCGCCCCGACGCTGTCCAAAACGTGCCCTCGAGCTCTATGACATTTCCATGGGTGTTGCCCTGTGCAGCTCTCTCTCAGTAGACTGTCTGGTTTGCTTCAAGCTAGTGTTTACTTAGAGCCAGGCACCGAATTGGTGTCCCATGCGAGGCTCCTGACGGTGAGCCTGGGGCGGGGGTCCCATGACGTCCGGGTGCGGCTCGGGTGCTGGAAGGTGAGGGGCTGGCCAGGGGAACGGAGCGCACCCCGTGCAGACGGTTTGGGAGGGCAGTTGCGGTGAAGGGGGATTGGCAGCTCCGTGGACGTGGGGTTGGAGATCAAAGGGGTGAGGAGCCAGGGGACACAGTTCATGGAAACTCTGCCGTCCAGCTCCCTGAGAGGAGACTCACTCATTCATTCACCAGATCCCCGCTTTCTGGTTCTGCTGTGTGCTGGGCACGCAGTGTAGACGGTTTTCTTTTTCGTGCACGTCTGGGTGCAGTTCGGTCCACCTTCTCTGTCACGGGTAGAACTGGTAGGGCCTTTTCGTTCTTCCTAACTTTGTCACTGCATTATTCATGTCTCTTCAAAAATAGATTAAGCCATCCTGTCACCCTGCGGGGAGGCACGTGAGCCGGCTGGGGGTGCTGGCCTTTGTTTTGTGCTTGTTGTCCCGTGTTGCTAGGCGTCAGGCAGCCCGTTTGCTGGCAGGTGCCCCCGGAGTCTGTAGGGCCAGCTCTGTGGCACCCGGCCGGTCAGGAAGCCGTGCTCTGCCGGGGCACTGCGAGCGGGCGTGCTCTTGCCTGTTGGCCTCATCGGCTTGCGAGGAATTCGGCCTTTTGGCCAATTTCACTGTGGCTTTTCTTTGGAATAATAGATTTTCAAGTTAAAAAATCACCCAAGAGAGCAGAACAGTACAGGAAACATCAGAATATAGAGGAAAACCCACCATACACATCACCCTGCTATTCCCGAGCTGCTCTGCAGGCGGCCTTTTGGGGGGTGATCATAGTGCTCATCCTGGTAGCTTTGGTCACCACTGCATATCCTCACAAATCCTCTCCCGAGTTGCGACATCATCCCGAAGTCATTTTTTCCTAGGTGCGTGGTGATCTCGTTAAGGCCCTGGGGCAGATGGTCAGTCTGAACAGTGAGCTGGTGAGAGCACTGACCTCCAGCTGAGGGGGTAGGGCCGGAACCCGGGTTAGACTCGGTGGGGGGCTGGAGCCACAGGGTTGGGGCGGGGCCCGAACCTGGGTTAGACTCGGGGGGGGGGGGGGTGGCTGGAGCCGCAGGGGTGGGGTGGGGCCCGAACCCGGGGTAGACTCGGAGGGGGCGCTGGAACCACAGGGGCGGGGCGGGGCGGGCCTGCTTGTGGCCATGGGAGCCCCCACCCTGTGGGAGATACGGCCTCTGATTAACTGCCCAAGGACAGGGCACTGCTTTTGCTTCTCAGGTTGATCATTAGGTATGTTTCAAGTGTGCAGAGTATTTGGGGAGTGTTTCGAGTGGAAGCTCTCAGGAAGCCTATTCATCTGGTCCCTGACGTGCACACAGGCCCAGAAGGTCTGGGCTCCCGAACCAGGCACCTGCTCCCCACCCCGCAGTCTTCCTGCCATGGAGAGGTGGTGTGAGACCTGCTTCTTCGCAGAAACACAGAGAAGCACCTGGGCACGACCCTGATGTCGCTCGAGGACTTGGCTTGTTAAATCGCCTAGTTCTTCGTTGGCTAGTACAGCTCTCCAGGATCTGAGAAAACTAGCTTCTCTGTCACGTCCCCGTATGTGCTTCCTCCTAGCGCTTTTCTTCTCTGTTCTATGGAGCTGGCTGTGCTGTAGGATGTTGACAGAGACCCCGTCTCACGCACTGGAGAGGACTCTGCAGGGCACCCTACCTCCCGTACTCATTCCTGAACTCCTAGAACCAAGCCATTCATCTAACACGCAGACGGCCCTTTGGGTCCCGGGTACAGCAGTGGACGCAGCTGAGCGCGGGCCCTGTGCTCACGGGGTGGCACTAGCAAGGCGATGGGCTGGCCGTGTACCCACACGGGCCTGGCTGCGACTCCGAGTGAGGGGGAGAGGTGGGAGGCCATTGAGGAGCTGACGGCAGTGACCCAGGCGCAAGGTGGTGGCCTCTGCAGAGTGGGCGTGGGGTGTGGCAAGAAGGGATGGGTTTAGGATATTTTACAGTGTTCTAATTTTATTTTAAAAACTTCCATATACCGAAAGAAAAGATGAGCTTGGGGATTGCGTGCTGGCTTGCCCCCCCAAACGTTTGGCGACATCTGCTTCACCTGCACGCCTCCCAGCCTTCCAGCCGCAAATACTCAACAGGCTTCTCCTTGTACCTACCTGCAGTACACCTACCACATTTAGGAAGTTTAACCCTGGGGAAAAAATTCACCTTTCTCCAGCCGTTCCAATGTCTTTTGTAGCCATTTCCCCCCAGTCCTGGATCACACGTTGCATTTAGTTCTCCTGTCTTAGTTTTGCAGAATGTCTTTCAATTTGGGTTTTCGGATGCTTTTTCCACAACTGGATTCCGGTGACACACTTTTGCAGGAGTGCGATGTCAGGGACCAGAGACAAACACTGGGAGGCAGCCAAGAGGGTTTGCTCACAGATGAGATGGGAGGGGAGGGGAAACAAGGTTTTGGCGTTGGCGGTAACTGAGATGGGGAGACTGGGCGGGGGGGCTTCTGGGGGCCAGGCCGGAGCACAGGTCCACACGGTGTCTGCAGAGCACACGCGGACAGGTGCTCCCGAGGCATCTGTGGTCTCGAGCAGGTAGACTGGTGCGTGGGAGGCCGGGGAGGCCGGGGAGGCCAGCGGCTGCAGCCGGGAGCCTGGGCTTTATCGGGGGCCGGTGACGCCCTGGCCTCCCTGCTTTGCCTCCTGTCGGGTGCAGCCAAGGCTGGGAGGAGCGTCCCCTCCCCGCAGGCCCCGTGTTTCCCCGCTCCGCGAGGGGAGTGATGGGGCTCCAGGGGGTGCCCGGCGGCTAGTGTGGGTGCTGGGTGCAGAATACCTCCGTTCTTGCATTCATCGTGGTGGGTCTGCATAACAAACAACTCACACCTCTCTCTCTCTTTTTATTTTAAAGTTCAAGCTCATATCCCAGGCATATGAAGTGCTTTCAGATCCAAAGAAGAGGGACATTTATGACCAGGGTGGTGAACAGGCGATTAAGGAAGGAGGCTCAGGCAGCCCCAGCTTCTCTTCACCCATGGATATCTTTGACATGTTCTTTGGGGGCGGGGGACGGATGGCTAGAGAGAGAAGAGGTAAGTGCTTTTTAAAGACAGCAAGTTTTATAGTTTTCAGATCCTACGTGTCATTGGAATCAGGGTGGATCATGCCTTAAAAGGGATCATTAGCTTTATTTTTTCTTTTTTAAAGATTTTATTTATTTATTTGACAGAGACACAGCGGGAGAGGGAACACAAGCAGGGGGAGTGGGAGAGGGAGAAGCAGGCTTCCCGCTGAGCAGGGAGCCCGATGTGGGGCTCGATCCCAGGACCCCGGGATCGTGACCTGAGCCGAAGGCAGACGCTTAACGACTGAGCCACCCAGGCGCCCCAGGGATCATTAGCTTTAAATAGTCCCCCCCACCCACCCCATAGTATGTGGGCTACCTGGAGCCTCCTAGCACCTGGAGCACTCACCTGACACCTGCAGACACCACCTGACAGGAGCAAATGGGGTGTGAGCAGGGAGGAGGAAGGACGTTCATCTCGTGACATCATGGCGCCTCCTGTCCCGGCCTCCTGACCTGGCCTGTGCACTCTGTTTCTGGCTGGCGCTCTGCAGGGTGTCCGTTTTCTCAGGCCGCTCAGATTTTCCACCCCTCATGTGGGAACATCTCTGTAAGAGAGCCTCCCTGCCTTTCTCTGGAATGTGTTGTGGTTAGCAGCTTCATGCCCAGGAGGTGAACGAGGGCCCCGGGCTGCTGTCTGAGTTGTGGGGTTTGCTCTTCCAGCTCGTCCCTCCTGCCAGGCCACAGGCTGCCACCTCTGGCCGTTAGCAGTGGTCCCCAGCTGCCCCTTTCCCCTGTCCAGTTTCTACTGTGGACAGTCTGTTTTGGACCTGAAAACCAGATAGCTAGCCAAGCTTACTAAGATCCTGGGTAAAATCACAAGGAATAAGCTCTGCGTTGGGGTTTGCGAAGGGTGGTCTGGATCAGCAAGAGGCCCTGGATGAATAAGGCGGTATCTGTCGTCATGGTATAATCGAGTGAGCTTCAGACGCGTGGCCGTCCACTCTTGAACACAGGGTGCCGAACGTCCCGCGTTCATTAGGAAAAGCCCTGGCCCCGTGTAAGGTTTGCGGCTCGTGTGCTTGACGGCAGACACGATGAAAAGCGCGGGTCCCCTCCTGCCCAGCACTCTCACTGGCTTGCGGTGAACAGCTTCACGTCCTGAGTGCAGTTGTCTGTCCACACTGACAGCCAGTGAACAGGGACGGCATGTGTCCGCCACCGAGAGCCCCGCAGGCAGCTGTTGGGCTGTCCGACCCTGGCCTGGCACTGGGCGGACAGAATCCCACCCCGAAGACACAGGGGCCCACAGATAGGATTTCAGCAGAGGAAAGAGTTCCCACTTGGCCACAGATTATAGAAGGGCCCAAAACGGAAAGAGCCTGGGGCTCGGGGAGGAGTTTGAGTGAACAGTGCTCAGACGGGTCACACCCTCCTGTGAGGGAAGAAAGGGCCTCTTTCACGGGAGAACCCGCAGCTCTGCTTAGGGTCCCCCCCCCCGCCCCCCTGCGATGGCCTCAGGTTTGTTCTTAGAAAATAAAGATGGAAAGTCTTTGTTGACGTCTATAAATGATTGAATGATTGGCTCCCAGCTACAAAGCATGTTCGATCTCGTGGTTGGCGGGGGGGGCCCCGAGGTGAGGTCGCGAGCGGCGGGTGGAAGGCACGGATCTGCAACCAAGGTCACGGGCGTATTTCCTGCCGTGTTACTAATTGTTCTCCTTTCCCCTTTCCCCCAAGGCAAGAATGTTGTCCATCAGTTGTCTGTAACTCTTGAAGATTTGTATAATGGAGTCACAAAGAAGTTGGCCCTCCAGAAAAATGTAATTTGTGAGAAATGTGAAGGTAAAAATGAATGTTTGAATGAGTCCCATAGTTGTGACCCCTTAGATCTGGAAACAGTTCTGATTGTTTTATAATTCAGAGAAAAATCATTTTTTATCTTTTCGAATGTAAGGGTCCCAACAGACAGCAGACTGGTGGCCTAAGGGCCAAATCGGTTTTAGTTTGCCCTGTACCGTTTTTATTTTGACTGACATTTATTTAACATGTTGATAATTATTTTAAACATGTAAATGTCAAGATGGTTCACCCAACTTAGGGGTCAGCAAACTTTTCCTGCAAAAGGGCCAGACAGGAAGTGTTTCAGGTCCCCGGCAGCCCTGGGCATAAGCGGGCAGACGAGCCCGTGTTCCCGTGAAGCTGGTCTGGTCTGCTGCCCCTTGACTCACACATAAATGTAACTAACACAATTTTTAAGATAGGATTTTTCAAGAAAAGTCGTGTCTGGTGGCCTCGGACGCACGTTGTCCTGAGGTGGCCGAGCGGGGCCGCCGCCCTCCAGGCCTCTCAGCCCAGCCCCCTTGGTCACCTGCGGGCACAGCTGGTGAGGCTCACGAAGGGAATCTGGCCGGGCACGGCCAAAGCCACGGACCCCAGACCCGTGAGCTCACATGTTAACATGTTCCTTGCTCGCTTGGAATCATCCAGGCTCTGTACGTTGCTGCCCACGGTTGAAAATACCCGTGTCCCGCCGAGGGGCCCCGACCGCCCTCCCTGGCGCCTGGGGGACAGGCCGTTGGCACAGGAGCCGGCTCTCACCCCGTGCCTCCCCCCAGGCGTCGGTGGGAAGAAGGGGTCTGTGGAGAAGTGTCCCCTGTGCAAGGGCCGCGGGATGCAGATCCACATCCAGCAGATCGGGCCGGGCGTGGTGCAGCAGATCCAGACCGTGTGCCTCGAGTGCAAGGGCCAGGGCGAGCGCATCAGCCCCAAGGACCGCTGCAACAGCTGCAGTGGCGCCAAGGTCATCCGCGAGAAGAAGATTCTCGAGGTGCACGTGGAGAAAGGTGAGGCCGCGCAGCTGGGCGCTGCAAGCCGCCGGCCGCGGGCGCGCAGGCCAGGTGTCTGGGACCTGTCGGGGGCGGGGCCCGGTGCCCCCAGCCTGCCCTGCCGGCTTCACTGCCGTTCGCACCTCCAGCGACAGCTTACCTGCCGCGGGCTGCACCTGCGAGAGGTGCGTGACCTTGATCTTGGGTAACCGCCCTCCCCCCTTCTCTAACCATTCCCTTGTAATCACTGGGCGTCTTCCTCCTGACCGCCTCGCCCGCTCACTGGCCCTAGAGCTCCTGCGGTCTCTGGGGCTGCGGGCCCCTCCCCGCCGCACGGGCCCCTCCCTCTGTGCACCCGGCCCCTCCCCGCTGCACAGGTCCCGCCCCGCCGCACGGGCCCCTCCCCCCTGCACCCGGCTCCTCCCCGCCGCACCGGCCCCTCCCCCTGCGCACCCGGCCCCTCCCCGCTGCACAGGTCCCGCCCCTCTGCAGGGCCCCTCCTCTCCAGGGCCCCTCCCCGCTGCACCGGCCCCTCCCCCCGTGCACTCGGCCCCTCCCCGTGCACTCGGCCCCTCCCCGTGCAGGGCCCCTCCCCGCTACTGGGCCCCTCCTCTCTGTCCTGGCTCCCTCTCCGCTGCAAGACCCCGCCCCTCGGCAGGGCCCCTCCCCGCCGCACGGGCCCCTCCCCCTGTGCACCCGGCCCCTCCCCGACGCACGGGCCCCTCCCCGTGCAGGGCCCCTCCCCGCTGCACCGGCCCCTCCCCCGTGCACTCGGCCCCTCCCCGCTGCACAGGCCCCGCCCCTCTGCAGGGCCCCTCCTCTCCAGGGCCCCTCCCTGCCGCACCGGCCCCTCCCCCCGTGCACTCGGCCCCCTCCCTGCTGCACGGGCCCCTCCCCGCTGCCCAGATTCTCCCAAGTATGGCCCTCCCCTCATTTGTATACCAGAGTATACAAATCAACACCCAGAAGGGCGCCCTTAAGGGTGTCTGTTGAAGCATCCGTGGCTGTGCGCGCCGCCAGAGCCAGCCCCGTGCGTGCAGCAGGAAGCGGGTGGTGACCGCGGGCGCGCAGTGGCGGGTGTGCGGGACGGCGTGGCCTCTCTCGTGGCAATCCCAGCCACTGCTCTGGTTCCCGTGGCCACGAGGTTGGGAGGTTTGATGAGTAAAAGCCCCCAAAGGAGTGCGTGCGGGGTTCACAGCTTTGTAGAAAGTACGGTTTTTAAGAGAGATGCTAATCAGAAAGGATGATGTCTCATAGGTATGAAAGATGGGCAAAAGATACTGTTTCCTGGAGAAGGAGATCAGGAGCCTGAGCTGGAGCCTGGCGATGTCATAATTGTGCTTGATCAGAAGGATCATAGTGTCTTTCAGAGACGAGGCCACGACTTGATCATGAAAATGAAAATTCGGCTTTCTGAAGCCCTCTGTGGCTTTAAGAAGACGATAAAAACGCTGGACGATCGAGTTCTCGTCATCACGTCCAAGTCGGGTAACGTTTCCGCCTTGACTGTTGTGCTGGGTGGGTGCCGCGAGCCGGGGCTTAGCACCACTTCCTTTTCTCCCAAGTTCAAAGTCTTCGCTAACGACTGGAGAGTTTTATGATAAATGTTTAAATATTCTCCGAGGGAAAAAGAATTCAGAGTCGGGGGGAAGAGCCTCCAACAGGAATCTCGGGATCGAGCACCATAACTTAAACTGTAAAATCCTAGTTTGGTGAGAAAAGAGCGGTAACAGGCGGTGGTGGTCTGTCGCCTGCATGCTTCTCCAGCTTCGGTGCTGCCAACGACGCGTGGGGGACACTGTGAAGTCCCGTTTTCCCGAGAAGACCTTGCCCGTCAGCTTAGCCTCGGCTGCTCGCAGGGACCCGCCCGTCTGCACACACGCGCGGGTGGGGGCAGCACCTGAGGGCCGCGAGGGCCTCCAGGGCCTGAGTGCCCCGCACCCCTGCGGGCAGCAGAGCGCCTGTCGGGAAGGCCGGAGGAAGGCCGACTGGCGAAGGGAGGGGCCGGGCCGGGCACCTGACCTGAAGCCGCCTCTGGTAACATGAAGGTCACTCGTCCGTGTCCGCGCGCCTGGGCAGGGGCGGTGGTGGCTGACGCGCTGGCTGGGAGCAGAGCTGCTCTGGTCCCCTCACCACCACCGGGGCATCTGTCGGGGCTGGGTGGGACGTGAGCCGCCTGTCCAAGGGCACCAGCGGCCGGCGAGCTGAGCGGACCCCAGAGCCGCCTGGCCTCCGCACTTGCTTCCCTCCCGTGGCCTTGTTCTGTTTCTCTGCCGCTTCTCTCTCTTTGCACGGTTTTCTCCTTCTCTGGACATAAAAGGATATGGATTCTACATCCAAGCCTTTCTGATAAAAACTTGTAAAAGTAAACACAGTACCAGGATCCCCATACGTGATTTGCCCATTGTTGGGGCGCTGCAGTGTAACACTCGCGTGAAACCGTGAGGCACGACCCCCCCCCAGGCCCCCAGTTCCTCCCCTACTTGAGTGGAGAACTTCGGGGATGGCAGGTCTCGAGCAGGTGTGAGTTGGGGGCCTGCTCATGCGGCCCTGCCCTGATTGTGGCCCTGAGGGCGTCGCGGGGAGCTTTGGGAGGGCTCTTCCTCCCTGGCCATGGCTGGTGGGCGGCTGGGCTCCCGGCGTCCTGCTGCGCTCAGGCAAGCGCCCCATCGGTGACCTGGGGCAGAGGAGAGACCCTGTTCCTCGCGTCGTGACAGGGCAGGGCCAGGGCTTCAGAGACCCTTCTGCTGGAGACTGCTCTTGTTCTTTTTGCTCATTTATGTTTCTCTGTGTCCTGTCCTTTTCCTTTATCCTGTCTCTTCTCGTTTGGGCTTCGTTCTCATTCCTTTCCTGCTGCTGTCTCCTCTTTCTGCTGTCAGGTGCGGAGACTCGGGGTCGGTGGGGAGGGTGCCCTGGCAGCTGGTCGGGGGCCCTCCGCGTGTGGCTTCCCAGCCCCCAGTCAGTCAGAGGCAGAAGCATGCGGGGTAGGAACGGAGACAGGAGAACTTTCCAACACACAGGACGGCTGAAGGCCCCGCGCTCCTGCGCGACCCCAGAGAGGGTCCTCAGTGCTTCCCCCTGACGAGACTGCAGCGGGGCTTGCCGTCCCTCCCCACCCCTACTCTTTCTGCACGCTTACTCGCTTCTCTGTGCGTTTTCATTGCTGAGCTGAAGAGCTTATTTCTGGAGAGACCCTTGTGCCCTTTCTTCTTTATGTTGGGGGGAGATGGTATCTTTAGACGTGGCCAGAACCCTGGAGCTCTGGGGCCTAAACCCCGTGATGCCTTTTGAAAGTGCGTCGTGGGAGACTCCGGAGTGTGGGCTGGACCGCTTCCAGCTCCCAGACCCCAGTGTTTCGAATTCCTGGTTCGTTTTTTCCACCACTGTGCTTTGTGCCGGAGGCCCCGACATGCTGCCCCAGGCATGCCCCCCCTCCCCCGAGCCTGGGCAGGGTCTGCCGCCAGGCCAGCCCCGTCTTCCTGCTCCGTAACCCAACCTTCTCTGCGGCAGGCGAGGTGATAAAGCATGGTGACCTGAGGTGTGTGCGTAACGAAGGGATGCCCATCTACAAAGCACCCCTGGAGAAGGGGACTCTGATCATCCAGTTTCTAGTAAGTTCCTGACTCTTGTGGCTGCGGGCGGGGTCAGGGCGCGCCTCCGTGGGAGGGGCAGCCGCTACCGCTGCTCTTGGCCGACGCTCCTCGCCCTCCACAGGTCGTCTTTCCCGAGAAACACTGGCTTCCTCAAGACAAGCTTGCGCAGCTGGAGGCCCTGCTGCCCCCGCGGCAGCAGGTGAGGGTCACGGACGACATGGACCAGGTGGAGCTGAAGGAGTTCAACCCCAGCGAGCAGAACTGGCGGCAGCAGCGGGAGGCCTACGAGGAGGAGGACGACGACGGGCCGCGGGCCGGGGTGCAGTGCCAGACGGCGTGAGCGGCCGGAGGACTCGTGCGCCCCGAGTGTAACGTTGGCACAATGAAAATGGCATCGCCTAATGGCCTCGTGTCTGCGTGTCCTGTGTGTGTGTTCAGCCCTCTCAGTTGCTGAGCGTCTTCTTGGTTTTTCTCTTGTTTTTCTTTTGGTTGTCACTTAAGTTATAGCTTAATTTATATTTAAATGTTTCAAGTGTAAATCATCTGCAGTCTGCATATGGACTCTGTTTATTTACGTTTTCAGAACACGTTTGAGAGGCCCGTGACCGCACTGACACTTGCTTCTGGGGGCTTGGCCGGGTCGGCGGCCAGTGCGGCCCTCGCAGGGCGCTGGGCACCGCCTGCGGGCGCAGCTCCCCTGCCCCCGCCCCTCCCGGGGCTGCTGAATCTAGACTCTAGATGACGCTCCTCCAGGCAAAAGCACATCTGTGGCCTGGGCTGGGCCCCAGGGCCTGGTCCATGCAGGGCTGCTGCTCTGGGGCTGTAGCAGGTGCATGAGCATCTCTCGGAAGCTTCCGGAAGCTTCCCGGCCTGGTGGAGAGGACAAACCAGTGCTCTGAACGCAGCGCCGACGTAACGGTTTGCCTGGGGCCCCGCACCTTGTTGCTTGTGGTTGTGATGATTTTCTCTTGGCAGTCTTTGCGACACTCTTCCACCGAAGTGCTTACCGTAAAGGACATCCCGTGGGCCACGGAGCCTCCGGGCTGCGGCTCAGGCCGCAGGAGCGGCAGCCTGGCTGGGGAGGCAGACGTCCGTCTGCACCCCCTCCCAGAGATGTCTCCTCCAGCTGCCCGGCCATGGGACGCAGGGCCTCCTGCTCAGGACGCGGTTCTGGCGAGAAGCGCGCTGCCTGGGCTCTGCTGGGCACAGTGGCGAGGGCCGCCTGCCCAGAGGGACAGTTCTCATTGCTTCACTCCCAGCGGGCGGCCCTCCCCTGGTTCTGCAGAAGCGGACAGTCTGATGCAGACCAGGGGCCGCCGCAGGAGGGCGGAGGGGCCCATGAGGCCCCCCTAGTCAGGGTGCGCCGGCTTGGGGGGGACTGGGCTCCAGCAGGACCCATGCGGGCGGGTGCCACTTGCTCAGAATAGCGCCCGCTCTGACTGTTGGTCAGGACCGATCTAAAATCTACTCTTCCAACCCAGCCTGTGTGAAAACCCATGTACAAATGGACCACAACTCCAGGGAGTCCCGTCCGTGCCGCGACTTCCTGATTAGCACCACAGAGCTACTGCTGATGGGGGTCTCCGTTCAGCTCCAGATTCTTGGGCATGGAGATGGGACCTGGAGGGTGTTCCTTCAAACTCACTCCACCTGTACATCTGTCCTTTCGAAATCAAACCCGAGCTGGGATGAGAGACAAACGGCTCTGGTTGTTTACATTTCTCCAGCCCCACCGAGGGTGTTAAGTGCCAGCCTGCCTCACACTGGTGGACGGGAGCTGGTACCTGGGGTGGGGGTGAGTGCTGACGCTGGGGGGAGGAAACGTCCATGGCTCTGGTTACAGGAGGGCCACCAAGGCCAAGAGGCAGGAGAGGGGCGCGGGCTTCATCCTGAGGGCGATGGGTTTGGGGGACAAACGTGCGACCTGACTCACAGGCATATGAAGTCGTTAATAAAAAGCAACAAGCTTCAGAGTGTGAACCATTTCCACACAGGCCCCACTGAAGGGGTAACGGAGGTGGGGCTGGAGACTGTGGATGCCGTGGAGGCAGCCTCTTCCACCGCAGGCCGCACCCCTGCCTGAAGTCAGTCGAGTGCGGCAGGTGAGGTCTTCAGGGTATCAAATAGACACCCAGATAGGCAGGACTCCAGAACATTCCCACCTGGGGAAATACCCTGTTCCCTTCAGGACCCCATTCTGAAACCGAGAGCTGCTTCGTCCCCACGTCTGTGGGGCTCAACCCTCTGGAGAGCCAGCCTGCACTTCTCAGCTGGGAGGTTCGGTGACTGCCCGGATCGCATCATATCTGGGGCAGGTACTCCTCCCACTCTCCCACCCACAACAGGGCAGCTGAAAAAGCCCGTTCATGAACACGGTGTTGGTGTTATAAACACTTTATGTTCAAGTATGAACAGCATTTCCAATAACAGAACATGAAAAGACTGATCCTGTATCTACAAAATTTGTTTTTGCTCCAATAAATGCTAGAAAGGCAAGGAATGTCGTGATCTACACACCAGCCTGCGAGACTCTGGTGTTTACACGGGGCAATCGTAGACGTGGATTTCCTGGTCATCGCCCACGGACACAATTTTTGAGCCATTTCCATTGTATTTTACTCCCCAGACCTGTAAATCAAAAATAAAAAAGTTCTAATGCCTTTATTGTTTATGAACAAACATCCTTTTGTATTCTCACTATACTGAATCTAGAAAACCAGTGAGACAGGGCTGTTGTGCTTTCTGAGCCAGCGGGAAGGGGGCCCTTGTCCTTAACCAGGCACTTGCATTGCTACTGTTTATCACTCCCTCACCTCCCATACTCCGTAAACCTTCCAGAGTCTCAGAATCTGCGGAGTGACTGCATGCCATGAAGCTGGCATCTGCAGGGGACCAGCATGGGCATGTCACGTCTCCAGAAAGAAGGCCCACCACTACCCGGGGGCGTCACCTCACTCCTGTGCCCTGCCCCCAGCCCGTGATCCTCCGTCTGTTCCCGGAGGCCTCTGGAGCCTGCCCGTCCCCGGAGCTGGACCAGCAGGCAGCATGGGGCACTGGTTTGACTTGCTGTGTTAAATCAGCAGTCACACCTTCCTGACAAAACTGCTGTGGCTGGAGTTTGGGTCAGCCTGTCACTCTGACTCCGAGTGGGGGTTCCAGCCCTGAGTCCAGTGTTGTCACGGGGTGGACCGATGACCTCCCTTCCACCCAAACAACCCTTCTGAGATGGCAGCATGCTCTGAGCCCCACGTGCAGGGAAACAAGCCGGCAGGGAGGATTTACTCTCACAGTGAAACGTTAAGTCCAGAGGTGCAATATCAAGATGAAATCCCCCCAACTTCATTAGCAATGATTTAGGACTAGATGTGAAAGAGCATGAACACTTATGTTAACTAAGCTGCATTCCAAAGAGGAGACCATCAGGGCGCCCGGCTGGCTCAGTCAGTAGAATGTGTGACTCTTGATCTTGGGGTTGTGAGTTCAAGCCCCATGTTGGACGTACATACTGATTACTTAAAGAACAAAAATAAGACAGAATGAAAAAACCCAGGATTTTCACAGAAACATTAAAAGTACATTAAAAGCCAACTTTTTACTGCCATGGGCATTTTATCTAAAGTGACTAGTTTCCTGAGACTTGCTACTCAAAGTGGTGGGACCAGCAGTGTGGACCTCACCTGCAGCTGCTTAGAAATGCAGGAGCCCAGGCCCCGTGCGGACTGACTGAATGGACCCCTTCCTTTCACTGGAGCCCCGGGGGTCCCTGGCACAGTACGGATGCCCTGGTTCCTTTCACATCCACACTGGCAAAAACAAAAAGGCTCCTGGGAGAATAGAGCCCCCTCCTCCCCCATTTAAAGACTGAAGCAAAAGTTACCAATGTCGCTAAAACCCAAACAACCTGTAAGAATTTATGGCTTCAGTTATGTTATTAAAAAAAAGAAATCACATCGCTTTTGTGGACAGTTCCAAACATGACAAGCGCTGTGTGTTTGAGCAATGGGCACTTTAAGACTTTGTTTAGAACTATTTGAGAGCGAGTGCACGCATATGAGCTGGGGGCTGGGAGAGGGAGAAGCAGGCTTCCCGCTGAGCCCGACGTGGGGCTGGATCCCAGGACCCTGAGACTGTGACCTGAGCTGAAGGCAGACGCTCAACTGACTGAGCCACCCAGGCGCCCCAGGGCAATGGGCACTCCTGAGGAAGGCCCTTCCAAGCCAGCCATGGCAGGCTGCACCGGGAAAAGTGCGCCCAGCATGCCCGGGCACCAGGGCATTTTCCGAAGGCACTGAACGGCCGTGGGGCTAGTGCTGTGTGTCCTGACCCTCAAAGGGACATCACACCTCACGGCTCGCCAGGCTGACCGCACAGACGGCGTGCGGGATGCTGGCTGATGGACACCCATGCAGGGAGAGCAGCCCAGCAGCAGGTCAGAACAGGGACAGGTGTCGCTGGTGCTCAGACAAGGAACGCGAATGTGAACTCTGCCGTACCTGATCCTGGTGGTCGAAGAAGGTGTGGACACACGTTCTCGTTCCAACATCCCAAACCTTCACACTTTTGTCAGATGAACTATGTGCAAAAGGGAACATTAGTATCAAAACAGTTTGCATTCTGGTTTTAAGTCAGAAGGAATCAGACCGGGAACTCCACCCTCCTTGACTCACCTACACTCTGCCCACCAGTGTGCACCATGACCAGCACGGGCTTCAGGGGGCTCCGGGTGCTGGCCTCCCTGGTGGATTTTCCTGCACACAGAGCGGCCACTTCCCTCAAGTTCTCATCTGCCCAGCCCTCATCCCAGGGTTCCCACCAGGAGTCTCAGACACGTGTGCCTGTTTCCAGGTCGGAGGGGGCCTGTTAAAGTCTCTGTGAAGCCGCTTCTGAATGAAGAGGCTTCTGGAACTCTGTGCAATGCTAGGAAGCTGGCTGTCCTCGGCCTGAGTGACACTGGGATCTAAAGGCACAACATCTGCGCACAGCTTTACATAGTTTAAGTTACTACTGCAACACAGGGATCCCAAAAGTCACTACATGTGGAAGCCTAGATTTATAAGGAAAAAACTAAAACTTGAACTGTTCCGAAGAATCCACCTTTGTTCCAGCAAAGGACAACTACCTGCATAACTTAAAAAAAAAACCAACAACCCACAAAACCAATGCAGAAAACAAAGTCTACCTGAATAAAAAGGGTCAGACCATCTTCAAATCTTAAGGCAATTCATAAAAGACAATCTTCATCTCTTAGCATTTAAGAAACTGCTAAGAATCATACGTACCTGGAAACGAAGTGAGTGTCGTCGGGACAAAAGGCAACGTTCAGCACCCACGATGCGTGGCCGCTCAGCGTGCCGGCCAGATTGGCGTGTTGTCTGAAACGGGAAAGTGTCAAACAAACTGGAGACGAAACAAAGTCTTACAGGAACACGAGCACAAAATGTGTGGCTTTCCCCCATGGCAGAGAGTAGGATGCAAGCAAGACAATCCCTAAGATGGGGAGACAGAAGCAGGGGCAAGCCGGCCACCTCAGGACAGTGGCGGGCTCCGAGCCCACCAGCACGCCAGCGCCCTTTCCACACAGGCCGGTGCCTCCTGTCCCGGGAGCCGCCAGGGTTCACTCTCCGTAACAGATGTGGCTTGGACAGACCATGTTTAATCGAACCAAGAACAAGATGGGTCTAATTACGAAAGCCATTTGTACTTTCAAATAAGTGAAATCCAAGCAGCAAAGGCCTGAGGAGAACAATCCCGAGGCCTGACGGAGGTTCGGTGACCCCAGGAGCAGAGCAGATCGCAGGCGGGTCGGAGGATGCGTGGCCTCAGAGGAACCCGCCTCTGCCCTCCGGGGACACCAGTCACCCGCAGTCGGGAGGCAGGCGGAACCACAGCCACGAAGGCCTTGTGCAGAGAGTCGGGCACTGAGGCATCGGCCACGGCTGACTGTGGCCCTGGGACTGACGAGCCAGCACAGCTGGGCAGAGGCTTCCCTCCTGAGCCCGCTCCCCTGCCCTGAACACAACCTCCTGTCCTCAGTGTCCCTGCTCCCAGCGCAGGCTCCAGGAAAGCCCGCACAGGCCCACGCGAGGGCACGCACACAGACGGTCAGGACCGGGGCAGGTGGACGCGGACAAGCGTGCCGTGTGCACCCAGGGCACCAGGAGGCCACATTGGGAAGCCGTGAGCCAGAGCCACAGACCGCAGTACTGAGTCAAAGGGTTAAGGACACCAATCAATCCCCTTCCAGGGGAGGCTTGAGGGGGAAGCCCAGGAGGAAGGGGCCTCACACAGGCTTACAACCAAAGGCAGCCGTGACCTGAAGAGAATGACCCTCACTCCCACACCTGCGGTCAAAACCACCCACAAAAAGCCTCCTTCATCTAGACCTGCAGCGAGCTGGTGGATAAACCGGCAGCCCCCTTGGCAGGGCGGAGGAGAGCTTGCTGGATGTCCACGTTTTTGACATCACTCTGGGCCAGCGACCGCCAGTGGTTCTGCCTCCTCCTCCGTACACGACTGACTAACCTGAAGGAACTTAAAATCCGTGAGCCCTACAAGAGACGGGATGACTGCAAACAGGAAGGAAGTACTGATCCTAGCAGGCAGTCCGTGACATTCGAAGTTCAAGGACAGGGGTGTGGACGGGGGAGCAATGCCTGGACCCTGCACACAAGTCCCTGCCCGACCCAGGACTCCTCCAAGCAGCGGGAGACAGGAAGGGCACTGGTCCCGGGCGAAACCCTTGAGTCAGCACGATAACTTACACGTCATAGATCTTGATGTAGCCATCATCTGAAGCAGTGACAAGGAGCTGGGAATCCGGGGAGAAGGTCAGGGAGCGGATGGGCATAGCGTGGCCTGAAATTCACAAAGGCCCTTGTTAATCTGGCAAATCACGGGCTCCCCACTGATGGCGTCCCTGGTAATGACCACTATCACTGATGCTTCTGTCAGGGCAGGGAATGACTGCATGGACCCCTCCTCCCAGTGTTCTAGAAACATCCACATAACCCAGGCCCCTCCAGGAGCCATTTCTCCTCGGTTCCCTTCCCCCACCAGCTGGACCTCAGCACATGAGGCTTGGGAAAAACTCCTCTGCTACAGACATGGACACACGAAGAAATACACTCTGATCTGTACAGACGAACAGGGTGCCGTTTCCCACCAAATCCTGTGCTGTAGGGTAAGTGATACAAACTAAGGAGGCAATGTATTCACTCGGTCAGAATTCAAACCAGTAGGAAAAGCAGAGCAGAAGACTCCCTCCCGCCCACACCCCGAGGCTGCGGGCGCAGGGGGCGGGCACAGTGCTGTCATCCACCTTCAACTTCTTGACAAAAAGTCATTTCCTAATCACAAAGTTCTGTAGAGCCAAACAGGACAGAAACGAAACACTCATATGGCTGAGATACATTAACACATAAAAAGGTAAGCCCGTTCACCAAAATAAGCACTTAGCACTGGAACCAGAACCAGCACATCCAGGTTATAACTAGACGACAAAACCAAGACTTGGAGGCATTTCAGATTTCTAACTGAGATCACTATTTTGCAAATCTAAAGCTCACCTGTCATTTAGTGGCATTTTAAGAAAAGACCGATTCGTCCTTTGTGATCTGATAACCTAGTTTGCACAAAATAAAATGAGCCATACCTTCCAGCGTGTGCAGGAGTTTTCCAGTTGCAATATCAAAAATATTGATGATCCCGTCTATGGCTCCACTGGCCAGATACTTCCCATCAGGGCTCTGTGCAGAGAACATGCGGAGGACATCTGAGACTCCATATGGTTAGGCCATCCCCACCAAACACGCAGCGCTCCTGCTCGCTGCAGGCCCCGCCAAGCCAGACAGCGGCTGCCCGCTTGGAGGCCTGCCACAGGCGGGAAGTGCACATTGCGGAGTTGGGGAGAGAAACGAGAGCAATGTCTCCTTACATATGCAATACTAAGAATGAATTTTCCTCTTGTGTCCAAAGAATATTCCTTTTTCCCACTTTCCACACCAAAAATGTTCACTTTCCCCACATGAGTTCCTGTGGCCAGATACTGGGAATCAGGAGAAAAGGCCAAAGTCCAGGCATCCACTGAACAGGAGAAAAAGAAGGAAAAAAAAAATACAGTGAGAAAAGGTGTGACCTTAATTTTTAAGACTTTTAAAGTTTTATCAAAAGGTAAGTTTTTAAAAATTAGAAACAATGTCCTGATTCAAAAACCTATGAGTTGAGATACTAATTCTTTACCAATTTAGCTTAAGGGCTTCTTAAATTTTTAATAAAAATAGGACAATACCAAGTGTTAACAAGGATGTGGAGAAACCAAAATCCTCACATACTGGTGGGAACATAAAATGGTGCAGCCACTCTGAAAAATAGTTAAAGTTTCTTTTCTCTCTTTTAAAATTTTAATCACCTGGCACTCATCAGGATACGTGTTCTCCTTCATCCCCATCATCCGTTGCCCCCATCCCCCATCACCTCCCCTGGTGACCAGCAGTGTGTTCTCTGTAGTTGAGAATCTGTTTCTTGGTTTGCCTGTTTCTTTTCTTCCCCCCTTTGCTCGTTTGCTTTGTTTCTTAAATTCCACATATCAATGAGATCATATGATAATTGTCTTTCTCTGATTGACTTAACTCACTTAGCATAACACTCTCTAGTTCCATTCCCACCGATGTAAATGCTAAGTATTCATCCTTTCTGATGGCTGCATAGTATTTCATTGTATATATGGACCACATCTTCTCTATCCATTCATCTGTCGATGGACATCTGGACTCTTTCCATAGTTTGGCTATTGTGGACATTGCTGCTATGAACATTGGGGTGCAGGTGCCCCTTCTTTTCGCTACATTTGTATCTTTGTGGTAAATATCCAGTAGTGCAATTGCTGGGTTGTAGGACAGCTCTATCTTCAACTTTTTGAGGAACCTCCATACTGTTTTCCAGAGCGGCTGCCCCAGCTTGCATTCCCACCAACAGTGTAGGAGGGTTCCCCTTTCTCCACATCCTTGCCAGCATCTGTCATTTCCTGAGTTGTTAATTTTAGCCGTTCTGACTGGGTGTGAGGTGGTATCTCATTGAGGTTTTGATTTGGATTTCCCTGATGCCGAGTGATGTTGAGCATTTTTTCACTTGTCTACTGGCCATTTGGATGTCTTCTTTGGAAAAATGTCTGTTCATGTCTTCTGCCCATTTCTTGATTGGATTATCTGTTCTTTGGGTGTTTTGGTAAGTTCTTTACATATTTTGGATACTAGCCCTTTATCTGGTAAGAAATTTGCATATACTTCTCCTATTGTGTAGGTTGTCTTTTGGGTTTGTCAACTGTTTTCCTTTGCTGTGGGAATGAATGGGAATGTGCTATGAAGTCCCAATAGTTCACTTTTGTCTTTGTTTCCCTTGCCTTTAGAGATGTATCTTATAAGAAGTTGCTGCAGCTGAGGTCAAAGAGGTTTCTGCCTATGTTCTCTAGATTCCAGTCTCACATTTACGTCTTTCATCCATTTTGAGTCTATTTTTGTGTGTGGTGTAAGAAAGTGGTCCAGTTTCATTCTTCTGTATATAGCTGTCCCATTTTGCCAACACCATTTGTTAAAGACACGGTCTTTTTTTCCATTGGATATTCTTTCCTGCTTTGTCAAAGATTAGTTGACCATAGAGGTGAGGGTCCATCTCTGGGTTCTCTGTTCTCTTCCATTGATCTGTGTGTCTGTTTTTGTGCCAGTACCATACTGTCTTGATGATGACAGCTTTGTAATAGAGCTGGAAGTCCGGAATTGTGATGTCACCAGTTCTGGTTTTCTTTTTCAACATTTCTTTGGCTATTTGGGGTCTTTTCTGGTTCCATACAAATTTTAGGATGATTTGTTCCAGCTCTGTGAAGAATGCTGATGGTATTTTGATAGGGATGGCACTGAAAGTGTAGATTGCTCTGGGCAGCATAGACATTTTAATAATTTTGTTCTTCCAATCCATGAGCATGGGACGTTGTTCCATTTCTTTGTGTCGTCTTCAATTTCTTTCATCAGTGTTTTATAGTTTTCAGAGTGCAGATCCTTTACCTCTTTGGTTAGGTTGACTCAGAGGTATCTTATTGGTTATGGTGCAATTGTAAGTGGGATTGTTTTCTTAACAGTTTGACAGTTTCTTTTTTTTTTTTTTTTAAAGATTTTATTTATTTATTTGACAGACAGAGAGAGACAGTGAGAGAGGGAACACAAGCAGGGGGAGTGGGAGAGGGAGAAGCTGGCTTCCCGTGGAGCATGGAGCCTGATGGGGGCTCAGTCCCAGGACCCTGGGATCATGACCTGAGCCGAAGGCAGACATTGAACCAACTGAGCCACCCAGGTGCCCCAGAACTCAAAATTTTTCTTTCTTTCTTTTTTTTTTTTTAAAGATTATTTATTTATTTATTTGACAGAGAGAGAGAGAGAGCAAGAGAGGGAACCCAAGCAGGGGGAGTGGGAGAGGGAGAGGGGGAAGCAGGCTTCCCGCTGAGCAGGAGCCCGATGCGGGGCTCGATCCCAGGACCATGGGACCATGACCTGAGCCGAAGGCAGACACTCAACCGACTGAGCCACCCAGGTGCCCCAATTTAACAGTTTCTTAAGTGAAAACAAACTTACCACAATACCTTGCAGTCCCACTCCTGGGTATCTACATACCCAGGAGAAATGAAAACGTATGTCCACACAAAGACTAGTACACAGGTGTTCACAGCACTATAATGTTTACACAGTAGAAAACGGGAAAGAATCCAAGTGTCCGTCAAGTGGTGGGTGGAAGAACAAAACAGGAAGGAACTGCTGACATGCCACAACGTGGACGAGCTGTGGAAACATGATGCTACAGAAAGGAGATACACGATCCCACCTACACAAACAACGGGGATGGAGAGCAGATGGGTGGCTGCCTGAGGCTGAGGGCGGAGCACAGACGGACTCTCCACGGACACAAGGGAGCTTTCTGAGGCACAGAACTGCAGTGGCGACCGCACAACCCCAGAGACTAAAACTCGTTGAACACTTACAATGGGTTAACTTTACAGTGCAATTAGAGAAGTGAAAGCTCACCTCAGTAAAGCGGTCAATAAACGAAGATGGACTACACAAATACTCTCCAGGTAAACTACAATATGACCGAGTATTTACCACAAATTAACAAGGACTGGAAAGAGGCACTGTTGTTTTGGAACAATCACCTGGTTTCTCAGTTACACCATACAACTTAGTTCAAGAGCTCTATTCCAGTGTGGTTTGCGCATCGCAGTGCGTCCTCAGCCGGATGGAGGGGTCTCCAGGCTCCTATGCGGCTGGGGCAAGCGATGGCTCGAGATTTCTATCTGGGAACACACACTGGTGGTAGCGTGGCATTTATTTTCTGGGCTACTCAGAAGCTCTTCAGCGCAATCCCAAAGAGCTCCGGGGGCCTCTGGGGTCAGGGCCTAGAGGCCAGGGAGTCATCCAGTTGCCCACTGCCTGCCTGTCCCTTTGCCCACGTGCACTCTTTACAGCAACGTGCCCGAGGTCTTGCCACCCCGCCCCGACAGGACAGTGCTCGCCAGATCAAAGGGAAAGCAGAGAAAGGCTCCCTCCCAAGTCACTGGCCTCATTCCTGGGAATGGCTCGCAGAGGGCTGGCCCTTCCCAGCCCACCGGACTGAGGAGAGGCCGCTGCGAACTTGACGCATGGCAGACAGTGGGTCCCAGCACAGATGGGCCAGCGCCATCTCCCAAGGTGTTTTAAAACAACAGTGTCTTGCAAATTTCAACGCACATATTTAAAAGAGTAATAAATAATTTAGCTCTATCGCTTTTCTCCTGAAATATGTTTTAAAAAGGAAATTAACTTCAAGAATGCTCAATTAACCGAGAAGATCTGAAAAAGCATTTGTAAGCAATTTCTCAAACAGCTGCTTTTTAACCTCTCCTTACTAATGACTAGCATTTATTCCAACAGGATTATGCTTTCTTATTCCCATTATAATTAACTGTTTAAGGAATAATGGTTATTAGAAAATCTGCTCTGAATTCCTTGCAGTTTAATAAAATAACACTCCTAAATTATTTTCGTATTTCCCTATTAGACGGTTTACAGTACAGGATTTTTCATGTCAAATATCCTTATGCTCAAAATTCAAGGAATTTTTGTTCCCGCGCTCTAAGACTTACAATATTTGCATAATAGATATTTGCTGTAATCACTAAGCTCCACCTCGTCACCGAGAGCAGCTGTTTACTCTCGGGCGTCTTGCCCGTCTCATGGCGTGGATGCTCATCCCGAGCGCCTGAGTGCCGGGAAGCACGGCTGGTGTGCCCACAAGGCGCTCCCCTGTGTCTTCACGGCCTTCCACGTCCTCACTTTCTTCTTCAGGATCAGGGACGTTCTCTTTCCCTTCTCCCTGTTGTTTGTGGTGGTCCACATCCTCCACGCATATTTTCAAGACAGGCACAATGTAAGTGTCGGTGTCCCCACACTCATGACCCGAGCAGTGTGACCTTCGGATGGTTTAGCTGCTCTTTAGCTGTCAACAGCAGCACCTGCTTTTACTACCCAAGTAACTGCTGTGTAAGGACCAGATTCCTGTCTAAAGAGAAAGTAAATCCAAGCCTCTGACGATTCTCTGTACCTTGTTTCTTTCCACATGCACTTGCCACACACGGAGCTGATACCGGATGTTTAGGGCACTGTGTGTCAGGGAAGGCAAGCTAGGGGCAGACCGGTCCTCTGCCCTGGAACCAATCCAGAACTCATCTCTTCAACTGCAGCGTGCCCAGGGCCACAAAACCCCACAATGACCTCAGCGTCATGGGTCTGGGGAAGGCTTAGGTGTCCAAGGTAAAAAGGCAGCAACAGATCTGCTTCTTCCTCCTCTCCCCGGCTTTGTGTCTTCGCAGACTTTGGGGGCTGGCCTGGGGCCCCAAGTCCTCCATGAGCGATGTCAGCAGGTAAGGATATAGGTAAAGACAATCACCTGGGAAGTCAGTGTCCGGGTAGCTCTTTTCACAGACGTAACCCCATCCACACAACCTGAAAACTGCTTCAGTGGATGCAAAATAGGGTCTAGGCATGCATATTCTTTAAAAATTTCCAGCAGTAAGAATCACAGACATGAAGTATTGCTTCCAAGGGGAAATGCACTCAGTATCTAGATAACCAAGCTTCCCTATAAGCCGTGGGACTATTACTCTTTCCAATACACAGACAGCCTGTGGTGGCTACTGAGCGTAACCAGTGGGAGGCCAAATCCACCTGGGACTCCCGTCAAGGGGACTACGTTCAGGAAACACCCAAGCACCTTCTGTGGCACCCACCCACGAAGGGTGTGCCACAGAGGCAGGGCAGGTAGCTCTCTAGGGGTCATCGCCCATTCCAGCTGATGGTGAATGCTATGCGGTCATTTACAAGTAGACTGAAGGCAAGGAAGCCTGAGATGTCGTGTTGCTCGTTCCACATTAATCCAGCCCACTGAAATCATTATTAATTCCTATTACCCCAGATATTTATTAAGGCTAATAGATAAGATTATGCTGTCTTACAGCACTTAAAAAAAATGTTACTCTAGAAGTTTCTTATCTATCAAATGCTGGGAATCAGGTCCTGTAATCATGATTAGCAGAGATTACCATGATACAGATCTAAGAGGACACAGTGCCTTACATTCGAGACCTCTATTAGGCACTGCACGTAACAAATCAGAATATGGCAAACAGAGAAGCTCTGGACCATCCGAATTCAGGTCCACAACCCCAAACTGGCAATTCTAAAATCTAAAGCCTCTGAAAACTGTGAGTTTTTCAACAGGTTTAGTACCAAAATTTATTTGGCAGTAAAACCTAAACCAAACAGACGTATAAACCCGTCTTGTTGCTGAGTCATTAATGCTTGGAGGACTGCCCCCACCCCACTAAAGGTATTTTAAGCAGTCCACGCACCCATATTACCCCCTCAGACCCAAACAATTCTGAACTGTAAAACTTCTATCCCTAGAGGTTTGGAAAGGGATTGTGTTTATTATCCTCCCTAAAAGTAAAAATCTTACCAGGTCCTGCATCTATAGACTTGATCTGTTTGCCGTTTTCCAAGTCCCAGAGACGAATATGAGCATCGAGAGAACTGGAGGCAGCAATGGGCAGAGTGTGGCTGATGTCCACGGACACCACACCCAGTTGGTGTCCCTCCAGACTCCACTGTAGGTCCAGCCTCTCATCAGACCTTCAGCGGGGGACAGAGAAATGGGTTTCTTCACACAAAACACGCTCTACCAGCATCTGAAATTCTGGGCCCCCATGACCCACCCCCTGCTCCCATTACCAACGGTCTGTGAAATGCAGAATCGGAGAGGAACCCACGAGCATAGAACACTAAAGGCAGCCAAGTTTTAACTGTGGGACTTTTTTTTCTTAAACCATAGGCCTTAACACTGAGTAAGAGGAAAACAAGTCAGGAAAAAATAAGCTGCCTTTTTAAACCACCATAATGCTACTGCCTTCTTGCCTAGAAAACCCTTAATGCTTTCCTGATTGCAACTTGGGAGTCTAAGAGAAAAACCCTAGACCCCAATTTCCAAGGCTGTTAGGGGAGAGGGTGCTCACCATTTCCAGACCTTCACCAGGTCATCCAGGGATCCTGTGACCACTGTCTCCGAGTTTTCTTTCTTGTTTGTCCCCCAGGCGACTGACCAAATGGCATCATCATGGGCTAGAAGAGAAAGCACTTCGGGTAAAAATGCTCATGCAACAGCTACCCTGCCTGGGCTGCAAGGAGGCTGAAGTGCTGTCCCCCCAGCTCTGGGGTCACACGGCCGGGAAACCGGCCACCTGGTTTACTGTCTTGCCAAGTGCTTTCCCTCCTGCTTTTATCAGAACTGCAGAGGCACACACAACACCTGCCCCAGATCACAGGTGTACCAGGGAGGGAGGGAGTTCCGGAACAATCCGAGGCTCTTCCCACTGCAGCACGCTACCTGCGTGCCTCAGTGAGGAGTGCCTATCACCTGGCTGAAACTAGAGAAACCAGCAGGACGCCCCCCACCCCCCCAACAAAGACCTAAACTTGGTAAGACTCATGTCTTAGGGACCCTTGGGAGCCAGCAGGCAGTTCAACTGCAAACAGTACAGTCTGAGAATAAGCACCTGCATACTCGAGCTGTCTCTTGTCACAAATGTCTCCTATGCTTAATGAGTCAGTTACTACATTAACTTTTTATGAATATTATCTCAATTAATCACAACAACCCTATGAAGTAGGTACTGTTAATATCCTCATTTTACAGACAAAGAATCGGAGGCTTGGAGAAGCCACATAACTCACCCAAAGTCAAAAGCTAAGAAGGAGCAGGACTGGGATTCAAAGCCGGTGTCTCTACGAACTCAAGTCCACCTTAAATCTGAAGGCCTGACTGTGGGGTCTGCAGGCCCCATGCAGGTGCATACACACGCAGGTGCACGCGGAGCCTTATTCACGCCGCGTGGGGACAGTTGAGGGACACCTCTCCACGACATGAATACTGGGCACTGAGCAGCTGTGACCCACACGCAGCTGCAATGACGACGCCCACCTGAGCCGAGCCCGCCAGTGAGCTGCCCGGACGGCATGAGCTGCATGCTGGGTTGCTGACTGGCACGCCTGACTAGCCAGTTACCCATCTGAGCTAACTTGGAAGAATGCTTTTGGTTTAAACTTCAGACCATCTAAATGGCAGCTACTTAGAGCGGAAGAAACGAGGCCCACATGAAGCCCCGCGTCCCTGGCAAGCTGCACCTCCAGCCATCCCCATACGCTGCTGCGCAAGGTCATGGTCTCTGCAGGAGCCCCTGCACTTGTCTGAAGTGGGGAAACCACTGTAAAGACCCCAGGGCAAGTTCTGAGGCTCTACTGGTTCCCTCTGTCACCCTGGTAGCTGGGAAGCTCAGAGCTGCATCTTTCTCGGGCGGAAAAGCTTCCCTCAGCCTGGAGCGTCCCAGTCTATTATGTGACTCCCACGTTTTCTTTCCAGTGAGTTGTGTGGGGGCTTCTGTTGCAGTTTGCTTGTAAATATGTTTTCAGCTGCGTCTGCTGATTCTTCTGCAAACTGAGTACACCTGGGGACTGCGTGTCAGGTCAGCAGACCCAAAACACCAGGGATGACAGTTTCCACAGGTGAATCTCCTTCAACAGGCAGGCTGCTTACCTTGCTCTTGTTTGAAGAGAATACTGTACTAAAAAAGAACAGACGCCACATTTAACCAGTGGTCAGACTTCAGAGGTATCCCATCCCCTCCCTAAAACACCCCCTGGCACCCACCTCACCCCCACCCCCCACTGGGTTAGCTCCCCGCCTGCCCTCCCTCCACCCATCCTACAAGCTTCCTGATTCCTGCTCATGTGAGACTGCAGAGTTGACCGTGCCAGAAAAAAATCAGTTCTTACAGAAACCGTACTCTCTCCTCGCTCCATCCCGAGGGGACTGATAAATCCCGTCACTCCCTGCTCGGATCACAGGAGGCTCTGCATCCAATTTCCAGCCTAAGTTTTGCAGTTGTATAAAACCACACAGCCTGCCTAAACTGTTACCGTTGTCCCTAATCCTATTACAAAGATTTCTCTCTTTCTGATTTTTGTTTCTTTCTTGTTTTTTTTTTTTTTTTAATTCAGTAAGAAGCTCTACGCCCAGTGTGGGGCTTGAACTCATGACCCTGAGATCAAGAGTCGCACACTCCAGCAACTGAGCCAGCCAGACTCCCGAGTCCAGATTTTTTCCCTCAATCCCCCCGTCAACCGTGGAAAGACTTAGATAGCCAAAATAATCCTCCTCTTGGTGCTGTACATCTCACAGCGCCACCTAACCCTGTGGTGACTAGGTGCCCAGTGTCCCCCAGCACTTCCGGAGCAGAGCAGGAATCAGATGCTAGTCTCCTGACTACACACCCAGACCTCGTACTGGCCTTCACCCTGCCAAAGAGACCAGCTGCGGTTCTTCTCCTCCCCACAGGCCTTACCTGGTTGGTCATTTCCTTAACCGAGGATGAAGGCTATAGGCCAGACGGTTCTGTGGGAACATCAGGGCTTCAGTAAGGGGGAGGGGGATACAGGAGGTTCCCCTTACCAAGACAATAAGGCAACCCTCTGCTGGAGCAGAGATCAGCCCCAGGGGCCCCCCTCACAAGCCCTACAGGGTGGTACGATCTTCTTTTTCCCTTGGAGCCCAGGGAGTCAACTAACACCTACCCCATGCCATGTTTTCCTCTCCCCAAGTCTGACTATAGACAGGGACCAGTCTCCATCCCTTGCTGCTCTTCAGAGAGATAAAACCACAGGTCCTTTTAATTGCAAATATTATTTATTCATTTGACTCAACAAGCAAGTATGTGGGAGCAAAGTGGTTAGAGTCTCTGAAGGGATGTCAGCCAAATATGCCCACGAGAGCCAACAGGCATGTGAATGAGACACATCTCCCAAAGTCTTCAAGGACTGAGCTCAACTAAACACACTTCCTTTAAGAATAGACATATTTTTGGGATGCCTGGGTGGCTCAGATGGTTAAGCGTCTGCCTTCGGCTCAGGTCATGATCCCGGGGTCCTGGGATCGAGTGCCACACTGGGCTCCCTGCTCAGCAGGGAGCCTGCTTCTCTCTCTGCCTGCCACTCCTCCTGCTTGTGCTCTCTCTCTCTCTGACAAATAAAATCTTAAAAAAAAAAAAAAAAAAAGAACAGGTGTATTTTCTCAGGCTGTAAGGGTTCTTCATATTTCATGTGTGTGCCCTAGACCCTCCAGCAGCCTTGTAAACCCTTCTCAGGACTTTGCAAGTGCATAGGACCAGAAAGGGAACCAAGTAGAGTCACTGCTTGTTACTCGAGGCTCTTATATTCTATGAAGTTATCAGGAACACCAAATTAGCGAATATGGACCCCACTGCTCCCAGGAGAAATCCTGGGTTAGGGTCCCGATCAATACATCATTTCAATGCCTAACAGAAGCTTATTGCACACACGCACGCTCTCTGTAGGAACCTCACACGAGGTGCACTAAGGAACATACACTTTCACACTGCGCTTGGGGGCTATTTTAACAGTGATACTACCAAAAAAAGCACAAAAATGCAACAATCATGACACTAAATAGACTGAAAAAAGGACCCTTGTTTACACGAGAGAGGTGACACAAGAAGGCGGAGCGTGCCCTTGTTCTGCTGCAGCTGAAAATGTGTCTGGGGACTCAAAGTTTTCACCACCGTGCACATGTCCGTGAAAGACCACAAAAGCGCCGCAAGTAATGATTTAGGGCCACAAATAAATTTTAGTGTGCAAACTTGCAGATACAGAGTCTGAGGATAAGAAAGATCAAGTGCACACCTAAAAGAAATGTTACCAAAATACGAAAATTAAATTTGTGACAGCTGTTTATTAACAGCTTACATAACAAGGTCTAGCAGCAAGTCTGGTCACCACAGTACTTTCAATGTTGTGACGAGCTTACACGGTCTCCTAAGACACGGACACCGCTGTGATTTCTGTTGCTGACAAATTCACGCTGTTAACACCGTGGTTTGTTGCCTACATCCGTAACCGGAGGAAACGCTAAGTTTCTGCTAGAGATTACAGAACCTCAAAGTGCAGTTTTTCTTGTCATCCGCGTTCATGCCCCCTCGATTCTGTCCAGGGACAGAGGAGACCATACACCGAAGGCATCCACGGTCAGGTGACTTGCTTTGGGTTTGTAAACCCCAAAAGGCCACCACGGTGCTCCAGGGGTAACAGGGAAACTAATTCCTACACAATCCTCGTCTGTGAAGCTCTCCATCAAGTTGGTGGTGCTAACTCACTTGTGAGCCAAGAGCAGAGCAGGGAAGGCAGTGAGGAGCCCAGGCAAGCACAGGCCCGCCCCTCCCGTCCAGGCGACCTCGCGTTTAGCCGCGGGGGCACACAGCCAAGAGTGGGGAGGCTTGCAGGAAGCCCCCTCCCCAGAGGCCAGCCCCCTGAGAACGAGGGCGTGCGTCCGTGAGCGCGCGCACACGCGTTAGCTCACCGCATGCCCCCCCCCCCCCGGGGTCCCTGTTAGCGCCTCCGAGAGCTTAAGGCAGCGCCCGCGATCGCGGGGACGGCAAACGGTGCGCACAGGCGACAGCACCTGGTGGAACAGCAAGTGCCGAGCTAAGGGCCCCCGGAGCCGCCTCCGCCGCAGGCACCGCGCGCCCCCCGTGTGCCCAAGGGCGCCGCACACGCCCTGCGACTCGGGCAGGTCGGGAGCCCAAGACGACGGTGACGGGGAGCTCGCTGCCGGGGCAGCACGGCCGACCCTGGAACGCCTCCCTTTACCGTGAGAGGCCTCTCCCGCAGGGACGCCAGCCCCAGCCCCGAGGCTGCACACGACGTTCTCGGGAGGCAGGACGAGGCCCCTGCCTGTCCTCCCAGGCCCCGCGCGGCCCGGGGCGCCCCGGGCAAGCCAGCCTGGAGGCCCCTCCGCGCACGCCCGCTCACCCGCGCCCCGGCCCCGGCCGCCGGCGGCCCCAGAGCCCGCCGTCGCCGACGGCCGCGCACGTCGACTCACCACCGTCCTGCCGGGGGCACGGCCGCCGCGCTGGTGACGCGGGGCTCGCGGCGACGGCGTCGCGCAGCGATGAGCCACGCGGGGGCGGGGCGGGGCGGGGCGGGGCTCTCGCGGCCTCGGCCCCGCCCCAGGGCGCAGGCGCGCGCCGCAGCGCCCCCTACCGTCGCGGCGCCACGCTGCGCCAGCGCCGCGGAGAGCTTCCGCGCCTGCGCGGCAGGCGCTCGCCTTCGTGCCGCCTCCGCGCGGTCGCCCGAGCTTCGCGCCGCCTGACGGGTCCTGGGCTGCCGTTGCCTAAGAAAACTCCGCTGACACAGAGTTTTGTGTTTCCAAGTGCCAGTCACAGCCCGTGCGCGATAGGTCCCGTTTAGTAGGCGTGACCAGCCCCCGCTAGAGCGTGGCGAGCGGGCCCCCGCCGTCCTCGTCCTCCCGGCCGCGCGCGCCGTGGCTGCCTGGGGGCGGCGCCCGAACGGCCAGCGCTGTGCCGGCCGCCCCCGGACAGGTAGCCCCGCTCGCGGCCAGAACTGCGCCGGAAGCCAAGAAGGCCCCCCGTCCTTTTCTCCGCGAAGTCAGAGCTTCACGGTCAAGGCCGTCAGGCCGGTTTCGGGAAACTGGCCACACGGCGGGCTACTCCCAGGGCGGCGTCAGGTTCACCTTGGGGCGGGAGCTTTGCCGGGTACGCGCACGTCTCCCGGGGCGGTTGTCCGGTCCTCGGTGATTGCTCCAGGGGCTCCTGGGCCTGCAACCTTCATCCAGCCCCGGTGCATCCCCCGCGTGTCCCCAGTTTAGAAGGTTTGGGTCGAAGCGAGCGGCCTCGAGACATCCCGACTTGCCACAATTCTTAGGGGGCGCGTCCTAAAAATCAAGCTGTTCCTGTAACCCTTCTGGATATATTTGACCACAGGACATTTGCTCCTAAGGCCGAGAGAGGATGGACAAATTATACCTCCAAGCTGGGGGCATTCCCATTGCATTGACCCACATGCTGAGTGGACCCTGTTCAGGCTCATCCCGCAGAAAATTAAACGTGCCGTCCTGGGACCCAGGGTCCTAAAGCGCAGAAAGGCCTTCTCACCGGTCTGCAAAGCACTGGCTGTTAGAGAAATCACGAGTAATCCGCTGTCTTTCTGCACCACCCGTCGCTTCGTTTTGCTCGGTCTGCCCCTTTGTGTTTGTTGGCAAAATTTGTGGGTTTCTCTAGTTTTTGAAAATAGACCGATTATGATGTGACCACTCCCAAACCAGGATAACTGGACCATCTTTACTTTGACTTTTAGCTTTTGAATATAAAGAAGTATTCTTGAAGACCTCCACTTTAAGAATGATAAAATTGTGGCCATCAGAAGTGCCTCCAACTACGTAAGTAAAGTGGATTTTAATTTGTATGATTTGGGCTGATGTGGATATTTTTTCTTTTCTGCACATTAAATCCCCCACCTCTAGATTATTCTAAAAGCACACTGATCACTTCTTTGCCTTTGAATTTTATCTGTTGTCAGAATATTAAGGCTTTCACCCTTCTGTCTGTTTGCTTCTAAATCTGCTACTATTCATTTCCAACTTAAGCAAACTGGGTATTAACTCAACTTTTGTCAAGCATTACAGTTGTGAATAAAAATTCAATGAATCATCTCCCCAAAATGAAATAGAACAGATTGAAAAAAATAGCATAGAAGATGTAAGAGTTCATCACGCATGGTAAAATTATGTTAAACAAACAGGCAACCTGTTTCACATACGCAGGTAATATGCTGCAAAGGAAAATGTACTTCTTGCCGTGAGTTGTGCCAAGACGTTCGAAAATCGTTGCAATAAAGGCTTTCTAAGGACTTTCCAGCTCCATGATTCTATAATTGTGTTGGAATTCCAAATCATTCATTTAAAAAAAGAGGTATCGTACACCGGCTTTCTCCCCTGTGCCCCAGAGCACCGCCCAGAGGGTCCCTGGCATGCCTTAGCAACAGTATTGTGACACAGGGGTGACAAGGCTTTGGGGCGCCATGAACACCTTTGGCATCTCATGAAGTCCACGAATCCTGTCTCAGTATAATGTACTGAAATGCATAAAAATGAAATGCATAGGTTTACAAAAGAAAGCAGTTATATCAAAAACGCTATCAAAATATTTCTGGAACAGTGACATATGCGCTGCTCTCTTCACACAGACGTCTAAGAATGTCTGTAACGTCAGAGTAGTGAGGAGCATAAACAGCGTTTTGGATGATTCGCAACAGCTGTACTATGATAAGAAAATATGGTTTGTATTGGACAAAATGACAGGTTCTGCTAAAACTTCTGCGGCTTATTGCTGACATTCGTAATTACAGGAAGTGTTAAATTCTAGTTAGAGGAGAAGGAAAATAAAGATGCAGTTATCATCCACCAATTCTCACGGATCCCCTGAATGCCCGCTGCAGAGCAGATCTGGAGAGAGTTGCTGGTATAACTGCATTTCAATGTCTGCAATGGGTTGTGGTCTCGCAGGTCAGGGGGGGATGAAAGGGCTTTAGAATAAAACCAAGTGAAAATCGGGGCGCCTGGGTGGCTCAGTCGTTAAGCGTCTGCCTTCGGCTCGGGTCATGATCCTAGAGTCCTTGGATCGAGCCCCGCATCAGGCTCCCTGCTCAGCAGGAGGCCTGCTTCTCCCTCTCCCACTCCCCCTGCTTGTGTTCCCTCTCTCGCTGTCTCTATCAAATAAATAAATAAAATCTTTAAAAAAAAAAAAAAAAAACAAGTGAAAATCCAAGCTAATTGTCAAATAATTAGCTCAGGTGCAGATCCTTCGGAGGCCAAGGTTGGGAGGCCTGTCCTGAAGGGCTGCGGGTGGGATGGAGCTGTTCCCAGAGAGTGGCCAGCTGCCTTTCTAACCAGGCTGGACCCGGAGGGAGTCCACAGCAGTCACAGCGTCCTGAGCCATCCCCACTACAGCTCTCCTCTTCACTCAAGAGTCACTGGTCTGAGCATTCCGGAAGGGGAAGGAGCCTTCCAGATCTATCCCACATCTATCTCCCTCTACACAACCCCATTATAAGGTCATCCAGCCTCTGCTAGCACACCCCCAAAGACAGGGAGCTCACCACCTCAATAGGAGGGAGAGCGCCTTTGTTCCAGTTCCAGGAAGCCCGAGTTGACTTCCTAGGAAACACAGGGATCCGTGGGTGTGGTGTGGGGCCCAGGGGAAGGTCCTGCTTTCTGCTCAGAACGGGCCGAGGGCGGGGAACTCCGTGGGCTGTGTGTCTGCCCTGTGTGGGGCTCTCCATGGCCCTCCTCAGAAGCCCGTCTGGCAGAGCCTGATGGCAGGAACCTCATCCTCTTTCCCATGTTCGTCCCAGGTGCCCCCGGACCCACAGCTGGTCTCCCACCCCACCCCGCCCCAGGCTACAGTATCTCACTGGTGCCCCTCCCTCTAGGGCCTCCGCCCTTCCCTCTGCCCCAAGACTCCCACTCTGGGAGGGACCCGCACCTCCTTCTGTGCTCCTTGCCCCCACGGACAGGCTCCCGGGCCTTTCTTGTTCTGGGCTGGGCACACAGGGGTTAATGCGGGCTCTAGCACCAGGGCTCCTGGGCCCACTCGTGGCAGCTACACTCCGCAGCCTAACCTGGGCCTTGTTTCCTCATCCCTAAAATGGGGATAATGCGACGATAGTGCCTTCCCATTAGGGCTGATATGGGGAGAAAACGCTGTTGTTTTTCTGGGAAGTCCTAAATGCACAGCCCACCTTTGGGGAAGGCCCGAGAGCCCAGGGTCTCCTTCCTTCACTGGCTCCCTGAACACCTGAGGGCACGTTCATCTGAAGCTGACAGCCAGGGCGACTCCCGGGCCTCACCTGGAAATGACCTATTCTGGGCACTTCCTCAGAAGGAAACTTTTAGAAAGCGGTGGGGATTCTCTCCTTTAAAGCAGTGACCCCACATACTTATCATTAAAAATTTTTTACCATGCACCCTGATATGTGTACGTTATTTATAAATTATGTGTATGTCCTATCCTGCTAATATACATATTATAAAACAAATACAGAAACAGGATTTAAAAAGGATGAGATAAAAGTAAATATAATCTGAAGGTCTAATATATTCTTCCCATATCCCAGTAGATGGTGTTGCTCACCATCAGGGCACAGAAATCCCATATTGGAGACCCCAGCACCTCCACATTTTTGTTCTGGTTTTAAACATTTGGAGAGCTACAGTGGACCGAGCCCAACGCTGAGAAGCTCACGTGTGCAGAATACCCGTGATGAGCAACCCTCTGCCATAATCCACAGGGATTCATCCCGTCGGGACTGACCGGGAAGGAGCCCGACCCGAGGGAGGCCAAGTGATTTCCCCAGCGTCACTCGGCCAGCAGGTGCACCGTGAGGTTGAAACCCAGGCTACTGGGGGATGGCTCTCTCGTGTTCCACTCCCAATCCCAGCGTGTTGGGAGAGGGGGAGGTGAGGAGCAGGAGGTCCCAGGAAGGAAAAGTGTGGCCGGGGTAGGACAGGACTGCTATGGGGCCAGTGGTGGGGGCCCTGTCGCTCCTTCACCAGCTGGTCCGGGGAGGCTGAGCCAGGAAGCCCCTGCAGCCGGTCCGGGCAGGCCCCCTGTATGGGGAACAGGGACCCAGGCAGCGGAGCCCCAGCCCGTGGCTTTACTGCTGCTGACCAGAGGGGGGCAGTCACCACTTGCTCTCGGCCACTTGGCGGGTCCCTGCCCTCCTCAGCTCCTGCAGACCCCAGAGCCAGCACTGAGTCATTAGGGGACCCCAGGCAAGGGCCTCGCAGGCCTATCTCCCCTCACCTAGCAAACGGGGGCCAAAACACCAGCTTGGGGATTCACAAAGGAAGCCCACGGAACCCCTGCCCGCAAGGAGCTCACAGTGACTCTTGGCAGGACTCTGGACCTTCCTCCCCAGGTGCCAGCCTTCCAGTCAGAGCCGCCCGTCTGACTCCCCAGAGCCGGGCGATTCTATTACCCCATGTTGTGGAAGAGGAAAGTTGGTGAATCCGGAGCACCTAATAAAGCCGTGGCAGAGTGGGGACCGGAACCCAGGCCCCTGGTCCCCACACAGGCTCTCTGTCCCTGAGGGCTGGAGCGCCCCCTCCACCAGCCTGTAGGCCCTACACCCCTTGAAAATGGGCAGGAGGCAGCGTGGACTCCCCCACGCTGCAGACAGTCGGGCCCAGTGGGGCCGAGTGGGCCCAGTGGGGCCACAGTGCAGCTGGGGGAGACGGGCCCGTTCTGGGGAAGGACAGAAAGTTCTGCCGTAGCTGGCCCGCTCTGTGACCTTCTGGGCATCGTCGGCATCTACCTACTGACCTAGGAAGCTGCAAAGGCAGGCTACCAAACAGCTGCTAAAGAAATCCTCTGTGGGGGCACCTGGGTGGCTCAGATGGTTAAGCGTCTGCCTGCGGCTCAGGTCATGATCTCAGGGTCCTGGGATCGAGTCCTGCATCGGGCTCCCTGCTCAGTGCAGAGCCTGCTTCTCCCTCTCCCTCTGCATTCCCTCTGCTTGTGCTCTTCTGTCTATCTCTCTGTCAAATAAATAAATAAAATCTTAAAAAAAAAAAAAAAAATCCTCTGTGGGAGGGTGAGAACAAGAGGCTCCTAATGTGCCTGCCGGAGGAGGCTGGGCCCCAGGGGGGCAGGAACGGGGTGGGGAGGCAGTGAGCCAGCGGCACAGGGGTGGGGGGCCTGGTGAGCGGGTCGAAGGGTCCACCTTGATGACCAGAGGCTCAAAGGAGGAGAGGTTCCCCTCCCTGTGCTGGGAAGTGTTCAATAACAGGCTCTTGAGGAGAAAAAAGCCAAACCGGTTGACAGCACTCACTGATCGCTGGGGTGTCGACGGCTCCTGGGGGCAGGTTGATGTCACTGATCACATTGTCAGCATGACTCACGGAATCTGGGATGGTCAGTATGCTCGTGTGTGCCCGCTCCAGCAACCCAGTGGTCCCGGCACGTTCTCGAGCTGTCCACCTTGGCCCAGCGTGCATGGGGTGAACACACCGTGCACTGTCCGTCCCAGGGCTGCCTGGAAACGGTGTCCTCTAGGGAGAGCCGCAGATGGTGGCAGGAGGGGGTGTGAAAGTGCTGGGAAGGCAGGGGCTCTTGTTTATAGAGTTGGGGGCGGTCAGAGGATTGAGAGCAGGGTGAGGACAGGTCAGAGGATTGAGAGCAGGGTGAGGACAGATCCGTGGAACCTGTCCCCCAGCAACCAGATCCTGTGGACGTCTGCCTCACAGAACCCTAGGATGCAGGCAAAGACGCCCCCCTTCCCAACGTGCATTCAGAGTCCATCATCCGGAGCGTCGCCCCGCCCCCCTGGCCTCTGGGTTCTCCCTGCAACCAGGCCCATCTCCCTGACGCCCTGCCTGCCAGTCCCAGTGTCACTGGGGCCCAGCTCCCTCACAGGCTCCTTTTGCACCTTCCCCGCAGGTCCTGGAGACAGGACTAGATGTGCCCAGCCATGAGCTAACAAGGGCACCAGACTCCATAACCTGGGCCCAGGGCCTGTCCCCAGTGCTCAGAGACGTCTGTGACGTCCAGGCTGACAACAGGGTGGGGATGACACTGCAGGAGGGGCTGAGGGTGCCTGTTGTGGGGAGGGACAGGCAGCGGGCTTCAGGGAGTCCTGCCGGCAGGTGGGCTGGGCAGCTCCGGGTGGGGATGGATGCACACAGCCCCTTGGCATCGTGCCTCTCTCCGGGGCCTGGGCCTGGTGGTTGGTGAGCCTGCCCACTCTGGAGCCCCCTGCCCCACACCTGCCCTCCTGGCCAAAACGGCCTCGGGAAGCCTGTCCCTCCTGGTTTCCTGGCCCCCTGTCCCCAGTGCCTAAGCCAGAGCAGTGGCCAGAGGCAGCCCGGGGTGGGGACACACACTTCGTGTCCGGCCGGTCCTAACCGGGGCTCAGCCACTTCTGAGAGACTTCTGTGTTCTCATCTGTGACAGAGACACGGCCCGCGGGTTGTCACGAAGATGAAATGAACAAGGTGCGTGGCCCCCGAAGTCTCTGAAAGCTGAGGGGCCTGTGGAACCACCAGTTCTCTCAAGCTTTCATTTTGCTGAGAGGGAAACCGAGGTCCAGAGACAGGGCTGGCTGACCCGAGACCCGGCGGGGTGGGGGTCGGCAGGGTCTGCGGGGGCGTGGGGCGCGGGGGCAGGGGGCGGGCTCACGCTGGCCCCCCACGCCCTGGGCGCAGTCCCCTGCAGCCCCCCATGCAGGTCCTCGGGCCTTCCGGGAGTGGCCAGCTGTGACCAGCACCCCACGCTCCGCATTCGCTCTGTCCCTGCCTCTGAGGCTATGCCAAGGGAGGAGTCCGGGCCCTGGGCTGGCCGGGCAGGGAGGACGGGCTGGGGGCGGGGGCGGGGGCACGGCACAGCTGTCCCCGGGACTCCGTGTCCTTGGTATGTGACCCAGCAGGGCACACAGTGACACTGGGACTGGCGGGCAGGGCGTCAGGGAGATGGGCCTGGTTGCAGGGAGAACCCAGAGGCCAGGGGGGCGGGGCCACGCTCCGGATGATGGGCTCTGAATGCACGTTGGACCCTCCGTGGCGACCCGCAGGGGCTCAGAGCCCGGGCGGGGCAGGAGGAACTCAGGCCGTTCCTTGGGCCAGGCCTCTGGGGAGGGGGCTGCTGGCCTGCCGTGGCCGCCTCGGAAGACCCCTTGTCAATTAATTTGGCAGCTCAGTGTCCGGGGCAAGTGGTCCTTGAGAGGCATAATATATCCGTGTCAGAAATGAGTTATGGGGCTCTCCACGGGGCTGTGGTCATGCCTCCCCTCCCCAGGCCCTCCCCCAGAGGCTGGCTTTGTCATTAGCCCCTGTGTTTGCCTGTGTCATTGCCCCCCCCCCAAGGCAGTGGGCGGCCACAGGGGACTCATTGGAGGCCCATTATCGGTGCTGGTTGTGAGGGATGATGTGGGGGTGATGGGGGCAGGCCCATCTGCACACACATCAGGCCCTTTGTCTCAGGCGTGGTGGGGAAGATGGATGAGGCCTGTCTAGGCTGCGCTGCCTGGGGGACGTCAGGAGCTGGGGACTGACCTCGGGGACCGGGGACCGACCTTGGGCTGGGTGTTGGGTAGAAAGTGGCCTGTGCTTACCTCCGTGGACAGAACCAGATCAAACAGGTTTGAGCAGAGACGGCTGATGGGCCATAAGGAGGAGGAAGGCCAGCAACGCCGTACGAGTCAGGTGGGGTTTCTGCTCGGCCGGTGCCGGGTGTCCCCCCAGAGGCTGATGAAGCCTGTGCAGCTGGGGGTTCCCTCTGTGTTCAGCCCAGGCTGACCGAGTTCTCAGACCAGCTGACGCAGACGCCTCACTCTGTGGTAGGGAAACCAAGGCATGCCCAAGGTCGCAGCAGCAGCCAGCAGCCAGCCATGGTGGGAGCCGACGTGATGAGCTCGCAGACACCTCCACCCCACTGGGGGATGACTCCAAGCCTAGGTTCTGGGGGCAGAACGGGGCTCCT